CGTCCTGGCCAACGGGATTATGCTAAACATGTTCCTACAAGGGGCCTCCTGTGCTCAGATGACCCACGTGGATCAAGTTTTAAAACGCCAAGGAGCCCTGGTGCAGTGCCCAGCTGCTAAATGAATGGGCTGCTGTGTCCAAGCCTCCGGCCCACTCCGAGGAGAGATCCACCATCTCAAAAACTCCTGGGGCAGTTCAACCCCGTCCTACATGAAGGGTTGCCATGATTCAGGCTCACCGCAGGTCACTTGGTTTCTTGGTTGGTTTAAAAATAGCCCGCCCTCTCGCTGGGCCTCTGCCAGAAAGGCCTGAAATGCAGGACTGTTACAGGATCCCGGCGCTGGAGCCTGCACAAGAGGATTTAAGATCCGGCTGGGTCCTGGGTCATTTTGCCAATCTTCTTGCCTTTCAATTTCCCCATTTGTGAAAGCCAGTGAAGCGCTTTGAAAACCCAAACCAGACCCAGTGCCCTCAGGGGCAGCGCCAACCTGCCCCCACCGGCTTCCTGGCTGTCCTCTTTGCAGAAACAGCCGCTGGAGCAGAGCGCAGATCTTGGTGCTTGGTTGGCGGGTGTGCGCTTTAACCGCTGTGCCACCAGGGCCCTTTCAAGAGTGTGGCTGAGCTAAGAGAGTAAGTTCGTTAAAGCGCCAGCCCGCATAGACTAGTTACCCCATTAGTTCCCTTCCCCCCTTAACTCTAAAAGCTAATTTCTGCCACACAAAAAGGCAGCAGGTTTCGCGGTTTCTTATACCTGGGTACTCTGTTTTAAAGCATGAAATGTTGAGGAAGAGAGTGGAACACATCCTGGCCCACCAAGCCCTGAGGACGAAATTCCCGCTCAGGGCCAGCCCCACCACGAGACACGACATCGCTCACTGACCCAGAGCGCTGCAGGGAACAACACTGGAGACACAGTGCAGGAACTGTGCCCGATCTGACCCCACCAATTGAGGCAAAGCACTAAGGGCGTGCAACAGAACAGCAAGGGGAACAGAGCAACGCAGTCTCCAGGGAATCCCAAAAATGGACTTTGGGGTCATGGTGTGGCACCCCATCAGACTGGACCAGACACACTCCTAAAGGTCAACAAACAGACCTTGAATTATTAAAAAGAAATGTTATGTTGTTTTAAAAAAAAAAAGACAAGAAAATTACCCATGGTTCCACATCTGAGATAGACATTAACTTATTTCCTATGTGCGTGTACTACACGTGTTGGCCTAGTTTCAACCTCCCAACTGAATGTAGTACAAACGGGTCTTGAAGGCTCCCTCCCTGGTCCCTTGTAAAGACTTCTATCACAGGTTCTAACATTTCAGGGCCCTTGTTTACAGACCTGTCCCCACCCTCCCCGCATGCACACATGCATGCACGCATGCATGCGTGTGGACTGTGAGTTGCGTGGGGCAGAAGCCATGTCCACACAGCATCCTCAGAAGCTAGCCCAGCTTCCAGCACACTTCAGTGCAGTGCTTGCTTGTCAAATTCCTTGCCTATCATTCCCCCAGAGACACACCTGGGACCCTAGGCTAAGGGAGCAATAGGAAGTGGGAAAGACTATCACATGACATGATAACATCACCTATCCCTGAACAGGGAAGAGCCTAACTGTAATAGGCTGCGTGTTACACAGGGTTCTCTAGAGAAACAAGACCATGACACAAAGGAATATAACAGCTAATTAGTCCACACAAGGTACTGAGCGCTGAGCTCAGTTCAAGATCAAGGAAGTAGAGAGCTGAGTCTTCCCTCAGGCAATGCAGGCAGTCCGCCCATTGCAGCAAACAGCAGGGAAGGTCACCAACAGTCAATAGCTCAGCTTAGTGAAGCAGGCCCAGACAGGATATCGAACTCAAGCAATGCAAGACAACAGAATCCACCAGCCTCAAGCTCAAGGGATGTCCACACCAGCAGCTTGGCAAAACAGGTCCTCAAGCTCTAGTGACACGATCCACAGGTTGGCTATCCCACAAGGCAGAGAACTAGCTAGAGCAGACTCCCGTTGGTCTGATCACCAGAGCAAGAGAGACCGGCAGGCCTTGCAGAGCCATTTATCTCTTTGCCCTCCAATCAAACGGTGTCCTTATTAATCCCCCATGTTCCTATTGGCCAAGTTGGCACAATAAGCCTATCATAGGCTGCTAACACCCTCTTAGATGACATCAGGGATAACTAATCCTCATTGCACTTAGCGGCCTTCAAGAGCCAAGAAGAGTTTTCAGAGACTGGAGTGGTTAAAAGGAGAATAAATTGCTATTGAGAAGCAAAAATGTGCACACAGGATGTCTGAGAAAGCCAAATCACTAGCACACGGCCCTTCCCCAGGCTGCTGGGACCCTGGCACGTCCTAGCCAATCAGTTCTTTCTCCAGGGGATCACCCTTAGCAGAATTTTCATAAAGGCTACATTCTGAAATTAGTTTAGCCTACTCTTAACACTATGCCCTTATATCCCTTTAAAAGAAGAATCAGCTCCAGGTCTTCCAAAATCCTCAGTTTGAGTAAATTTGGTTTCATTATACTACTCAAATTACTACTTTAACCATTCACAAACACAAACCCACCACCATTGGGCCAGTCTGTCTCACAGAGACCCTGAGCAGGGTCTCTGTGGCCAGCAGTTAATCTTTACAGGGAGCAGACAGCCTGGTCATTTTCCTTCCCAGGGGCTATGGGGGTTTGAACTGCCAACTTTGCAGCTGCCAGTCCATTGCCCAGTCTACAGCGTCACCAGGACTCCTTTCACAAATACAGGCTCTTCTTTTGAAAGGTCTGCCAACAAGTCTTTGTTTTTACATAATCCGAATTCGGGCTAAAATTCAACTCAAGTGTGTCAGAGGCAAGCACCCCTGGGCCTTACTACTGGCCAGGGATTGGTTGGACTGGACCACACCCTCCACACACCTCCCTCAGTGTCCATTCATCATTATCTAAACCCAGGGCTTAAACAGGGTGCCTTCTGCTGCAACCTCCTGCTGAGGATCTATCTGCATTTCCACCCCAGATAAACTGGATCTGAATCTACATTTTAACAAGACCGCTTTTGAAGCTTTTTTAAAATATAAACTGAAAAAAATAAAATAAAATATAAACTGAACCAATGTGTATTTCAACATGCCTACAGTTTAACATATACCTCTTTAGACTTCTGACTTGGTTACAGTTTATCACAAGATCTTCCACACAGCCAAGAACCAATGGGTAAGTTAAAATGTAGATATATTGATTCAGTACATCTGGGGTAGGTTGCCACCTCTCAGCAGGGGCTGAACCCCATGGCTGGTTGGAAGCCTGTTTTCTACATACATGAGATTTGGCCCACCCTCCAGAACTCAGTCAAAAGTGTAAAATATGCACACTAGCACATGTGGCCTCTGGCTCGGTAGTTAGGTGTTCAGATGGTGACAAAGGGGTCCAAAGTTTGAACCTGCCAGCCTCTCTGAAGGTGACAGGTGAGGCAGTCAGCTTCCATAATGATAACGGGACTGGAAACCCTATGAGCCCTACCTCTCTCTCCTGTAGGGCGTCCAGGAGTCCAAATCAACGCATCCCACAGTGGGTTTGTTTTGTTTTAGAATGGGGTAGGGGTACTTACAAGACAGGAATGGGATGCAGGGAAGACACACACCTTTAAAAGATTTACTATTTAGAGTCTAGAAGCCCTGGTGACATAGTGCTTGGGCTGCTAACAGCAAGGTCAGAAGTTCGAAACCACCCCCAGCCACTCTGAAAAAGAATGCTTTCTACTCCCATAAAGGGTCAGTCTCGGAAACCTGCAGGGGCAGTTCTACCCTGCCTTATAAGGTCTCTAGGAATTGGCATCGACTCAAAGGCATTGGGTTTGAGCTCTTTTGTTTTACTGACTATTTAAGGAGTGCTGGTGGCATAGTGAGTTACAAGTTGAGCTGCTAACCACAAGGTCAGTATTTCGAAACCACCAGTCACTCAGAAGGAGAAAGATGAGGCTCCACACTGCCTTCGTCACTGCCATCAAGTCATGACGACTCACAGGGACCCTGAAGGACAGGGTAGAACTGCCCCTGTGAGTTTCCTAGCCTGTAACTCTTTAGGGCAGCAGTTCTCAACCTGTGGGTCTCGAACCCTTTGGGGGTTGAATGACCTTTCACAGGGGTCATCCAATTCTTAAGAGTAGCAAAATGACAGTTATGAAGCAGCAACGAGAATAATTTTATTATTTGGGGGTCACCACAACATGAGGAACTGTATGAATGGTCGCGGCATTAGGAAGGTTGAGAGCCACTGCTTTAGGGGGTTAGAAGGCCAAGTCTTCCTCCCTGGGAGCGCTAGTGGTTCAAACTGCTTACCTTGTGAATTGCAGCCTAATGCATACTCACTACACCTCCAGGGCTCCTCCTACCAGATGTTTACAGCCTGAAACCCACAGGGGCGGTCTGCTCTGCCCTATAGGGCTGCTATGAGTCGGAACAGGCTATTTACTATGGACCTAACAGCTATCTGGGGTCAAAGACTGGAGGGAAAATAGGGAGGAGGAAATGGGGGCGGGGGTGGGGAGTGGTCACACCACGGGCACGGGAGGTGCAGACCCCTCTCTCTGGTAGCCCTCAGCACCCCACAACCCAAAGCAAGAACTAATGCGCGGGCCCGCGGCCCTGGGGAGGCGCGGGCAGGCGGAGGCCTGGCCCTGGGGCCGAGAGGCGGGGCCTGGCACCACGAGCTGCCACATCCACAGCCTCTCCTCCCGTCCTCGCCCTCCTCCCCGGGCTGGGGATGCCGAGGCCCCGCGACACGATGCCCGCTCGGGCCTGGCGACAAGGCCAGGTGCTCGCGGCAGCCCAGACTCGCCCCCGGGCGGTCCAGGGCCGGCGCCCGAGGGCCCCGCGCGGAGCCGAACCGAACCGAACCGAACCCAGGCGGCCGAGACTGCTGGCCGCACCCCACGCGCCCCCAGGCCGCGCCCCGAGCAGCCCGACCCCGGCGCAGGCCGCCCGGCCCGGCCGTGACCCCGAGAGCACCGGTACCTGACAGCAGAGCAGCAAACCGAACTGGGACGTCCACTCAGCCGCGGCAAGGGCGTGCCCGGCCTTAAGACGCGGTTCCGCCCCGCCCCCAGGACGTTCTCGCTGTCTATTGGCTAGCATCCGTGGGCGGGGCGTATTTGGCGTGAGCCCCGCCCTTGCGGCCCCACCGCGCGCCTCGGGGCAGCCCCCTCCGGCTGCTCTGCGCAGACTCCGCTGCTGAAACCGGGAGTGTCTGCCTCCGGAAGTCATCCCTGCCGACGGGGAAATACACCAGGAGACTTGTGATGTACCAGTTCTCCAAGAGGACCCCCAAAACCCGCTACCAGACCCAGAAGTCGAGTGAATATTCACGATATCCTACTTTACGTTACAAGTAGGAGTTCCTGTGTGGTGGAAGGAAGCCTTGGTGGTATCATGGGTGACCCATCTGTACTAACCATGAGGTCCGCCGTTCAAATCTACTAGCCACTCCACGAGAAAAAGGCGAGGCTGCCTGGGCCTGTCAAGAGTTTCCGTCTCAGAAACCCACGGGGGCAGTTCTACCCTGTGCTATCAGGTCGCTATCAATCAGACTGGATGGCAGTGAGTTTGTTTGGTGTTTGGGTTAGGTGGTGTAAATGGTTACGCACACCGCAACTAGTTGAAAGCTCACACAGCCTTGGAATCCTTGGGAAGCACTGGGCACACACAAGGTCTCCCTGAGGCAGACAGCAACTTGGCAAGAAAGAAAGGTGAGACCCAGAGGAGCTTAGATCTCCTTTAGTCCACAGTATGTATTCTGTGTACTAGAAAACGAACTCAATAAGAAAGGCAACTCGGGAAGGTGGGCAGCAGGTGAGGGACGGCCCAGTCCTATGAGTTCCACCTTCCACAAGGCCACACACTGACAGCGTGGGTCAGTCTCATTGTCCACCAAAGACTCAGTCAGAGTCCCAGAGGGGAAAAGGTGGCCCACTCCCATTTGTGTAAGGAAAAGACTGTGGTGTGGCAGGGAACGGACAAAGCAGTGGTAAGAAGTAGCCTGCGCCTGCTAGACCAGGGAGGGCCAGGACCGATCCAGAGAGAGGGAGTGCAGGGAGGCCATCTGCTTGAGCCCAGGCCACCAGGCCCCAATTACACACCCTTACCCCATCATCTGCCAGGGCTGACCTCACTACAAAGCCTGAGACTTAGATCAGCCTCCTGGGGCAAGGATCAGGGTAGGGAAGAGGAAGAAGGGGAAACATAGATAAAGGGGGGAGGGGGACGGCCACATGGACAGCTAAGAACCATCCAAGCTACTGTAACTTTGAGGCCCAGGGAAATAGCATGGGCACTGAGGCAGACCTGCAAACAGAGCCGCAGCTGTCTTCAGTTGTCCAGGACAAGGCCCCCGTGGAGATTCTGCCCTCCTTGGCTCACCCCCAACCCCCACCAAGTCCATTTGCTCTGACTGCTGCATCCCCACCTTCTCTGGGGCTCTGAGAGCAGGCTTTTGCCTTTTGGTTCTTTGATCTCCGTCCCTTCACAGCATGGAGTACAATATGATAAAGTGCATGGAAGTTGGGTCTGTCATTCTGCCCAAGGACTCAGAGAAGAATTGGTTTCCCCTGGTTCTGCTAGACAAACCTGGGCAGGTATGTGGGGCCAAGTCCAGCTCTAGTGACTCACAGAACCCAGGAATCCCTGGCTCTGCCTGAGATAGGGAGCAGGACAGGTGCTTCTGAGTTCACACTCAAGGCTTATATTAAAATATGTTGCAAAGCCTTTGGACTCCAGATAAGGTGTGGCTTCTAAGGTCTTTTCAAACACAGGAAACTGCTGAGAACGTCTGGGTTTTATCTCTTCTCTTTATCAGAAAAAATGCAACTGGCACAGAGAGCTTGATAATGTTGATGATTTTCCCATTGACAGTTGTTTTCAGCTTAAGTTGGCCTTGAGAAGGCGGCTAGACACAAAGGTTGCTTGTCTTCCAGCAAGAAACAAAGCTGTATGAGCCCCTAATAAGATGATTTTTTTAAAAATATGACAAATAAGTAGATAGCCTTTGTTACCCTATTTGAGAAAACAAATATAAAATGGTTCTTGTACATTTTCAAAAAAAAAACAAAAAAACATTTTGTACATATCATGGAGAAACACAAAAGGACAACTTGTACATGATCAGGATTTTAGCGTCTCTGAAACTATTCATAATTCAGCTAATTCACTACAGCTATTGTCTTTGAGTCAATGCGGACACATAGCAGCCCTGTAGCAGATAGAACTGCTGTCTCGGATATCCGGGCCTGTGATCTTTATAAATGCAGATTGCTACCTCTTGCTTGCTCGGAATAGCTGGTGAACTTGAACTGCTTGACCGGGGTGCCACCAAGCCCCAAGCAAACCCACTGCGATGGAGTCAATGCCAACGCATGCTGTCCTTGGTGGGTGCCATTGAGTCGGCTCCAACTTACTACAGCGACCCTTGGTACCGCAGGACGAAACGCTACTCAGCCCTGTGCCATCCCCACGGTTGCTCTTACACCTGAGCCCTTGGTCGCAGCCACTGTGTCAATCCATCTTGTCAAGGGTCTTTCTCTTCATGACCGCCCCTCCACCTTACCAAGCACGCCATCCTTCTCCAGGCACGGGTCTCTCCTGACAGCAGGTCCTACGGGCGTGAGATGAAGTCTTACCATCTTTGCCTCTAAGGAGCATTTTGGCTGTACTTTTTCCGAGACAGTTTTGTTTCTTCTTTGAGCAATCTATAGTCCTTTCAATAGTCTTCACCAGCACGAGAATTCAAACGCATTATTTATTCTTCAGTCCATCTTCATCGTTGTCTAACTTTCACGTGCATATGAGGCAGTCAGTTGAAAATACCATGGTGTGGGGTAGGCACACTTTAGATCTCAAAGGGACCTCCTTGCTCCTGAACACCCTAAAGAGATCTTGTGAGACCGATTTGTCCCATGCAAGGCACCGTTTGGTCTCTTAACTGCAGCTTCCCTGAGCAATGATTGTGGATCCAAGCAAGATGAACTCAACAACTTCAATCTTTTCTCCATTTATCACCCAATATTGCCTAATGGTCCAGTTGTGCGCATTGGGTTTTCTTTACACTGATTGTAATCCATACTGAAGGCTACAATCCTTGATCTTCATCAGTATGTGGGTGCTCCAAGTCCTCCTCACTTTCAGCAAGCAGGGTAGAGTGATCTGCACATCGAGGGCTGTCAGTAAGCCTTTCTCCAATTGCAATGCCAAATTCTTCTCTTTTTCCAACAGTTTTATTGTCATATCATTCACATATAATACAATTCAATAGTTCAATCACATAAAGAAGATTGTACAATCATCACTACTATCAGTTTTAGAACATTTTCTTCATATTTGTACTGAGCATTATTAGTGCCCGATTGCTCCTACAACTGCCCCCAAGATACCACTAATCCAGTTACTGGCTCTATAGATTTATCTAGCCTGGATTTCATATGCAGAAAATTTTATTTTTTTTAAATATTAGCAGCTTCTCCTTCATACAACCCACCTTCTCTGATGATTTTCACAGCACACAGATTGAATAAGCATGGTAAGAGGATACAAACCTGGCGCACACCTTTCCTAATTTTTTAAAGCTATGCAGTATTTGCTTGTTCTGTTCTAGTGACAGGCCCTTGCTCCATGTACAAGTTCTGCATGAGCACAGTGAAGTGTCCTAGAATTCCCATTCTTCTCAAGACTCTCCATAGTTTGTTATGATCCATGCAGTCTAATGTCTTTACATAGTCCAACCCATAGTGACCTTATAGAGGAATTCTGAGACTAGATCCTTATGGAAGCAGACAGCCTCATCTTTTTCCCAAAGAGCAGATGGTGGGTTTGAACCTCCAACCTTGTATTTAGCAGTCCAACACTTAACCCACAGCACCACAAGGGTTTCTACCAAGGCTCCTTAGTTAACTCTACAGGGACCATGCAGCCTGAAGATACAAAGTCTGAACCTCATCAAAAGTACTGAAAAAGAGACCCCAGCCATCTAGCTCAGAAGCAACAAAGCCCACATGGAAGAAGTACACCAGCCAGTGTGACCACGAAGTGTCGAAGGGATCAGGGATCAGGCATCAAAGAACAAAAAATCATATCATTATAAATGAAGGGGAGTGCAGATTGGGGGCCTAATTCCTATCTGTAGGCAACTGGACATCCTCTTACAGAAGGGTCTCAGGGAGGAGACGAGCCAGTCAGGGTGCAGGGTAGCAACGATGATACACACAACTTTCCTCTAGTTCCTCAGTGCTTCCTCCTCCCACTATCATGATCCCAATTCTACCTTACAAATCCAGCTAGACCAGAGGATGTACACTGGGACAGATAGGAACTGGAAACACAGGGAATCCAGAACAAATGACCCCTTCAGGACCAGTGGTGAGAGTGGTGATACCCGGAGGGTGGAGGGAAGGTGGGGTAGAAAGGGGGAACCGATTACAAGGATCTACATATAACCCCCTCCCTGGGGGATGGACAACAGAAAAGTGGGTGAAGGGAGGTGTCAGACAGTGTAAGATGTGACAAAATAATCATTTATAAATTATCAAGGGTTCATGAAGGAGGGAGGGAAGACCGGGGAGGGAGGGGGAAATGAGGAGCTGATATCAAGGGCTCAAGGAGAAAACAAATGTTTTAAGAATGATGATGGCAACAAATGTACAAATGTGCTTGACACAATGGATGGACGGATGGCTTGTGATAAGAGTTGTAAGAGCTCCCAATAAAATGATTTAAAAAGAGAGAGCGAGAGACCCCAAATTCAAATATAATGTATAGAGACCCATTTATTATATCTTAAATGGGACAAAAGCAAGACAAAAACAAAGCATTTGAAGGAGGGCGATGATCAGCATGAGATCGTAGTAGTCCAGAGGGTCATAGCCACTTAAATAGAGCCTGGGGATCAAAGGAAACTCGAAACAGCAGGATCGGTGGCAGACTGATTCCTCGTACTCGCAGGTGGGACAACAGAAGCAGGGAAAAGAAATGTATCCTCGATGGGATGCGTACACTATTAGAAATGTTTGCTCTGCTTGTTTAGAAATGTCTGTCCATAAGTTGCCCTGCA